ACGTTCCTGTAGTAGTAGTCACGTTGCGAGTGTGTGGGTGGGAGGGGGGAGTGTGGTGGTGGGAGGGGGGAGTGAGAGTGATGGAGGGGTGCGCGGGTGTGGCAACATCCACTACGACCATCATGTAAAAATGTCACCGCTTTTTCGTGTCACAGAAGTGGTGGGGAGGTTCCTCTCTCCAGTCCCCCCCCCCTCCCCTCACTTCTCCCTCCCTCCTCCTCCACCTTGCTCTTGCTTGCTGCTGTTGATACTACTGCTGCTGTTGTCGTTATTGCTGCTGCTGCTGTTGTTGTCGTTGATGCTGATGCTGTTGTTGTCGTTGTTGCTATGGCTTCTGTTGTTGCTGCTGCTGCTACTGCCGTTGTTGTTGCTGTTGTCTCACCAGCTGGTGTCATGCATCACTGTTACTGTTGTCTCACCAGCTGGTGTCATGCATCACTGTTACTGTTGTCTCACCAGCTGGTGTCATGCATCACTGTTACTGTTGTCTCACCAGCTGGTGTCATGCATCACTGTTGCTGCTGTCTCACCAGCTGGTGTCATGCATCACTGTTACTGTTGTCTCACCAGCTGGTGTCATGCATCATGCATCACTGTTGCTGCTGTCTCACCAGCTGGTGTCATGCATCACTGTTGCTGCTGTCACACAAGCTGGTGTCAAGCATCACTGTTGCTGCTGTCTCACCAGCTGGTGTCATGCATCACTGTTGCTGCTGTCACACCAGCTGGTGTCAAGTATCACTACTCTCCTTCCCGTCGTCACATTTCACTGTAATTATCTTCACGTTGTTGACGTACTAATACGCATGAAGTTGCGTCAGGAACACCAGACGAAGGTAGTATCATCTGCATCATGATTGCTGTAATAATGAGCGCAGTGAAAGTGAAAACTTTCCACACCATGCAGCTACGCTGTCTGGCTGGCGCTTAACGTTCTCTCCTGGGAAGCCAGTCGCATCGGGCGCTTAACGTTCTCTCCTGGGAAGCCAGTCGCATCGGGCGCTTAACGTTCTCTCCTGGGAAGCCAGTCGCATCGGGCGCTTAACGTTCTCTCCTGGGAAGCCAGTCGCATCGGGCGCTTAACGTTCTCTCCTGGGAAGCCAGTCGCATCGGGCGCTTAACGTTCTCTCCTGGGAAGCCAGTCGCATCGGGCTGGAATCTCTGTGTATATTGGCTTCTAATTTGGCTTAAACTAGGTTTTGGAGTACTGTCATATCCCAGCCGAGGTGTGGTAAAGGTCCAGCTGGTTCAGAACCATCCAGGTGAACCTTCAAGGCTCACCTTCCTAGCTAAACCTGTGATAGAATGATGCTTAACTAACTCTGATATAACAAATTATAATATAATATAATAATATATATATATATATATATATATATATATATATATATATATATATATATATATATATATATGGAAACACTGAATGATAAAAGAAAGCTCACTGAGCTTTGCTTTATTAAAAGTCTATTGCGTAAAAATGCAAAAAAAAAAAAAAAAAAAAAGATTTCTGGAACTTAATTAATTAAAGTGGTGAGAGAGTGACTTGAATCACATCTTGACTCGCACACTTTCCAACACCTACGCGTCTGTGTCATGTGTACTCGCTCAAGATGTACTCACTAAATGTACTCAGTCTGGTTTGTGGGTAAGGATTAGAACTTGCCACGCTTAGTAACTGTTATCGACCGGTTTTGTTTATTCTTTACTTCAATTTCCTAACTATATCTATTCCTGAAACTGTGTACAGAATTTGTCCGCAGAGCTTCTCATGCCTCCCCGACACTCAACAGCCTTTTCCTAACTTTCATATATCTTATCTATGTCTCAATGCCGCCATCTAGGTACCCTGGCTTCCTTTCATCTCAGTCTTTCCCTGGGTAATTTTTAAAGGGGTAGAGGGTAAATCAGCGGAAGGCCTCGGTCAGATGACCAAAAGCACCAGCTGCGGGTCATATGACTAAAACCCGCGTCAGGAAACACTTGTCCTGTTTCCTGACAAACATTACCTTACCTTTCCCCTGTCCACTCCATTTATTTCTCTACTTATTTTGTGCAAGATGATTACGTCTAATTATATATATATATATATATATATATATATATATATATATATATATATATATATATATATATTTCTGTAAGGGCTTGATGTGGCGGAGGCTCCATCTTGGCACGTACAGGTGTCCAAGAACTGTTGCCGCCTCAGTCAATACGTTTGTCAGTAAAACTGCTCTGTAGTTGATTGCATCCTGTATATTTTTTTATGTATACTGGGATAAAATTTGCAGTTTTCCAACTGTCTGGCAGCTGCCTTGTTTCCACTGAGGTTTTGTGTTCTTGCTTAGGGATCACAGAGTTTCTTAGGCCCTCATCACAGTACCCAAGGGAGAGAGAGAGAGAGAGAGAGAGAGTGTGTGTGAGTGTGAGTGTGAGTGGTGAGTGATGAGTGGTGAGTGTGAGTTGTGTGTGTGTGTGTGTGTGTGTGTGTGTGTGTGTGTGTGTGGTGTGTGTGTTTTGTTGTCACTGCTACACCACGTTATATAATAACTCTTGTTTTCATGTGTTTCCAGACGAGAAACCTGAATCATCACTACCTGTTAAAGTGTTACAGTTTCTCTTTCTATTTAAGTTTGTTATATATTCGCGGCGCGCGTGAGCTTGGTGACCCTGAGGGTGGGCGTAGCCCTCAGGGTCTCTATATAAGACAAAAGCGTCGGTGGTTGCCCTGAGGATGTCGCTGGTAGACTGAGGGTGATTGCTTTCCCTGAAAGTGGGCGATAGTACTGAGCATGAATGGTAACCCTGAGTGGTGGGGGCAATCCTAAGGGCCCGCGGGGCGTTGAAGGGCAGGGAGTCGTCAATGCTATGTTAAGAAGTGGAAATACCACCATACCAGAATAGTTCAGGGTCCCAAGTAAATGTCATGTGCTCGCCCCGCCTCATGCAAGTATTTGCAGTTTTTTTTAGTCATATATTGTGATGTTTGTTTGTGTGTACTGCAGTCATTTGGCGCTGGGGACAGGACAGGAGTCATCAAAACTGGCGTCATGACTGTAATATAATTTTGTGGAACTCTAAAGCTATTTAGACGGTATTCGCGAAGCTCTAAAGTTATTTAGATGAACCGTGTTGAATGGAGCTCTAAAGTTACTTAGATTATATTTAGTGGACTCCAAAGCTATTTAGATGGTATTCCTGTATCTCTAAATTTATTTAGATGGTATTCGTAGATCTCTAGAGCTATTTGATGATAAGTTTGCCAAAATTGATAAACATCACACTTGCTGCTTGGTTCACAAGTCTCCTTGCTACAGTGCTTTTGAAAATTCATGCCTGTCGCCTCTGTGTTGGCATCATGATGACCAATAGTTTCCTGTGCGAGTTGTGGTGTTCCCAGGCGTAGCAATACAATACTCTGCAATACTCTGGAAGGTGACCGCACACTGCCAGCGTGTTGCAAGCAACCTTGGCGCGCGCACACATATTTCTCGGCTCTGTGGCACGTGCCTTCCATGACTTCATTCTGTGTTGCAATATCACTTCCTATGGTAGTTGAATTGGGAATATGAAGATTGATAAATTAGACACAAATATGAAGATTAACGGCTGGAATTATGAGCCTGAAATAAAACACAAATGTTTATATTTTTGGCAGAATTGGTTATCTTTGTTTCACGAATACGTGGGAGGGATTATACACTTAGCCCTACTCTTGGGTTGAAATTAATATCAGCCTGACTGTACGTAGACCGAACCTCAGTTAGCGGACACCCCCCCCCCCTTTGAGCTCATGAACTACGTGGGTTAATTATTATTATTATAATCAAGGGGGAAGCGCTAAACCCGGAGGATTATACAGCGCCTGGGGGGGGGGATGTGGAAGGCATTCAGGCTTAATTCGGGGAACTGGAGCACAGATCCAATTCCCTAAATCAAGAGCCCCTCACCAACATCAAGGAACCCTTCCTTGGGTACGTGGGTTAAGACTCATGAAACATAACAAGTTACTTTCACGTGGGTTCCTTGATAGTCTCTAGGTTCTGTAATACTTGTTCCTAATTAGTAAAATGCTGTTTCTCATGGTTCTCAGAATTATCTTCTATATTTGTATACTAAATATACATAATAGTGTGCAAGATTTACCCTTCATCTTGTTCATGGTCATTTGTGAGGACGGTAGTAACTCCTTGGATAGTTGCTACCGTTGCCTATTAACCCGACTATTCGGCATGGTCTGAAACCTGGCCCTGGGGGGCGATGGTTGCAAGAAGCATTAACATATAATAATCACTGAAGTATTTTTTCGTACCCCTCAAGGGAGGTTCCTTGACGCAGGTGAGAGGCTCTTGATCTAGGGAATTGGATCCGTGCTCCAGTTCTCTGAATTGAGCCTGAATACTTTCCATCCTCCCCCACTACGGGTTTAGCGCTTCCCAATAATTGTATTTTATTTATAATCAAGGGGGAAGCGCTAAACCCGGAGGATTATACAGCGCCTGGGGGGGGGATGTGGAAGGCATTCAGGCTTAATTCGGGGAACTGGAGCACAAATCCAATTCCCTAAATCAAGAGCCCCTCACCAACATCAAGGAACCTTCCTACCAATAATTGTAATAATAATATTTTCTCGTTCATTTGTGGTCAGGAGCAGGTAATGCCCTGATATACCGCGTCTACCTTGATGCTGCTAATTTTTATATATTTCGTTCACTTGATTTCAATGAAGTTAATATAAAATGCATTTTTTTGTTACAATTAGGCGAAGTGATCTTGTAGTGAGGTGGTGGCGCGGGTAGGTTGTAGGGCATGCGTCATACCCTGGTTGCTGGGCGTGGTAGCGACCTTGGTGTATATCCTTCCGTCTGGTACTTATCTGCGCCTCCTTTTCGGCTCCAGGTGCGGGGTACTGATAACCTTCAAGTGTCTAATTGAACTGATCGTGTGTATTATCAACACAAGTGTTGTGTGCTGTTAGTAACTGTACTTGTGTGTTGCAGGTACGAGACTCGCGACTGAGAATGACGCAGTTGGTGTTGGCGTGGCTGCCGGTGAGTAACTACTGATCATGTTGCCTCACACTTCAAGGATGCTCCTCAGGCTCCTTTGCTCCAAGAAATTAAACCAAACATGATCACCTTCCATTCCCCAGTCTTTATATGATCCCTACAGGTTTACCGCTTTCCCATTAATAGTAATAAGTCTCTAAATCCACTTTGTATAAGTGTCCCGAAATGATTTTTTCATAATTCTAGTGTGTAAGTTTGGTCACACAAGAAGAAAGTCTCGGGTATATAACCTCACTTTTTATTACTGATTTTCAGATTACTACTTGTGACGCATTGGAATTCCCAAGTGCGTCACTTAGGATAGTTCTCTATTACATTTGCATTTCCTCGGGTCTTTGAAGAATTTTGTGTGTGTGTGTGTGTGTGTGTGTGTGTGTGTGTGTGTGTGTGTGTGTGTGTGTGTGTGTTGTGTGTGTGTGTGTGTGTGTGTGTGTGTGTGTGTGTGCGCGCGCGCACGTGCTCCTAGTTTTACACTGTGTACTTCCTGGGGCCCCTAACATACTCTCTTCTAAAAACGCGTCTGGAATTTGCTTCCATTACTTCCTCATCAGATCGTTCCACTTCCTAACCTCCACCAGACTTGAAAAGTACTTCCTGACCTCCCTCCCTGCATGTCTGAGTGCGTGCCTTCGAGCGAAATAGATTACTGGGATTTATATCAAGAAGTGTAAGCAACAGAAGTCCAGAGTAATACTGCAGCTTTATACATCATTAGTAGGGCCTCACCTAGATTATGCAGCTCAATTCTGGTCTCCATATTACAGAATGGAGATAAATTCGTTAGAAAACATTCAGCGTAGGATGACTAAATTAATACATAGCATTAGAAATCTTCCTTATGAAGAAAGATTGAAGACTCTTAAGTTACATTCACTTGTTAGACGAAGAATGAGGGGAGACCTGATCGAAGTGTATATGTGGAAGTAGTATTAATAAAGGGGATATTAATAAGGTCTTGAGGATGTCTCTCCAAGAGAGAACCCGCAGTAATGGATTTAAATTAGATAAGTTTAGATTCAGAAAGGACATAGGAAAGTATTGGTTTGGAAATAGGGTAGTTGATGAGTGGAACAGTCTACCTAGTTGGGTTATTGAGGCTGGGACTTTGGGTAGTTTCAAATTTAGGTTGGATAAGTACATGAGTGGGAGGGGTTGGATTTGAGTGGGACTTGCACATCAGAGCTTATTTCTTGGGTGGCATTGAAAATTGGGTTGGGCAAATGTTTTGTTAGTGGGATGAATTGTAAAGGACCTGCCTAGTATGGGCCAACAGGCCTCCTGCAATGTTCCTCCTTTCTTATGTTCTATGTTGTTCTTATGACATGCAGCCGCCGCCCATCTGCCTGTTGTACTCTACCTTCCCATGAGTACACTCCTACACCCATTATAATATACCCATCACACACTGCATTAACTTGAAAGTGACATTTGTGTCAATCATCTACGGATGATTCTTTTTTTAATTTTTAAAGCTGCGTGCCGGGGAATGTGTGTCGTGGGTGAGGGCGTTGTGCTGCCGCCTCCCTTGATTGTTTCTCGCATCCCGTGAAATTACATTTAACTTGCAAAATTTATTATTATTATTATAAAACTAATAGTATTATTAATTGGTACGTTTATTACTTGCGAGGTAAACATGAATGGTATACAATACAGACAAGATGAAAAATTAGACACTTGCAACATTTGAGTATATTTGTAATGTTAAAAGATACCCAAATGTTACACATGTGTCTAATTCTTTCACTTGCGAGGTGTTGAGGTATCACTCTTGCTATCCAGGACCTGAGTAGGGTAAGACACATATGCCTACAGAAGGGTAAGACACATATACCATTCGTACACACATATGCAACAGTTAGGTATCTTTATTTCGAAACGTTTCGCCTACACAGTAGGCTTCTTCAGTCGAGTACAGAAAAGTTGATAGAAGCAGAAGATACTTGAAGACGATGTAATCAGTCCATCACCCTTAAAGTTTGAGGTGGTCAGTCCCTCAGTCTGGAGAAGAGCATTGTTCCATAGTATGAAGAAGCCTACTGTGTAGGCGAAACGTTTCGAAATAAAGATACCTAACTGTTGCATATGTGTCTTACCTAACAACCTGTCGGTATTTTATACCATTTTAATGTTCAATCTGTCAGACACTGCAACACAAGGGTATCTTGGTACAGACCTACAATCAACTTCTACAATCTCCACTAGTGAGAACGGCTGGATTTGAGAGGGACCTGACCTCCCAACATCTGAGTTCTTACCTCTTCTAGTGACCTACGTCTCACCTCTATATAAGGCTCCATCCTGTCACTTCATCTCCATATTGTTTCATACTATGGAACAATGCTCTTCTCCAGACTGAGGGACTGACCACCTCAAAACTTTAAGGGTGATGGACTGATTACATCGTCTTCAAGTATCTTCTGCTTCTATCAACTTTTCTGTACTCGACTGAAGAAGCCTACTGTGTAGGCGAAACGTTTCGAAATAAAGATACCTAACTGTTGCATATGTGTCTTACCTAACAACCTGTCGGTATTTTATACCATTTTAATGTTCAACCTGAGTATGAAGTAAGAACAGTGATACCAAGAGATCCGCCCATTTTCCCAGCTTATTTGATGACGATATTGTAAAGAAACTTTGTGATTCATACTACATGTTTCAGTGCCTCACAGCAGCAAGGACACTGTAACCAGCAAGAACCAGTGAGAATATAGTGTGGGTAAGTCACTCCTTGGTGGTACAGTGCGACACTGCACCCGGGGTGACTCCCACACATGGTGTAGCAAGGCAACACCCTGGTGTCAGGTGTTGGTACCACTTATATGCATTGCATATAATTATGATAATTATTGTTCCTAGGAGTTTGCCATTAATTTAATTCATTTTTACTAAAATGGTCATCTTTATTAACTAAAATCTGTTTTATTGTTATACGTTTTAGTTTGGTCATAACAACTATAGTCACTCGAGACAGACATTAGTACAAATCCCATAGATATCGAAAAAGAAATGGCTATGCCCACTCACTCAACACCTGGGCCAGATTCATGAAGTGCCCTATTTATAAAAAAGTTCAAAGTACCACTAGCACGAGCCCTCAGTATTCTTTGGAGAAAGAGCCTATATCTAGGTGAAATACCGGAGGCTTTGAAGAGTGCAGACATAGCTCCTTTGCATAAGGGAGGTAGTAGAGCACTAGCTAAAAACTACAGACTAGTAGCCCTAGTTTCTCACATCATAATAATCTTCGGAAGAGTGATCAGTCGACAGATTACAATTTTCAAGGGACAGCACAACTCAAACCAGCATGGTATTAGAGCAAGACGATCATGCCTGTCACAGCTGCTGAACCATTATGACAGAATTACGAAGGCATTGGAAGGCAACCAAAACGCAGATGTGATATACACAGACTTTGCAAAGGCTCTTGACAAATGCGATCATGGGTGCTAGCACACAAAATGAGGGTCACAGGCATTACGAGGAAGGTAGGCAGATGGATTTTCGGGTTCCTAACACATAGAACACAAAAAATAGTAGTAAACAGAGTAAAATTCAGCATCAGCGAGGTAAAAAGCTCAGTGCCTCCAGGCACTGTCCTGGCACCTCTGCTGTTTCTCATCCTCATAGCAGACAAGAGTAAAATTCAGCATCAGCGAGGTAAAAAGCTCAGTGCCTCAAGGCACTGTCCTGGCACCTCTGATGTTTCTCATCCTCATAGCAGACATAGATAAAAACACCCGTCACATTTTTGTATCATCATTTGCAGGTGACGCCAAAATAAACATGAAAGTCACTACGGTAGAAGACACTGAAAAATTACAGGAAGATATAAGCAGTATTTTTCAGAGCAATGGAGAACATGACGTTCAACAGTGAAAGGTCCAACTGCTTAGGTATGGGAAGAATGAAGAGCTCAAAAGGAACACTATAGGATCATCCAATAGAACGAAAGGAACACGTGAAAAGACTTGGGAACAACCATGTTAGAACATAAGAAAGGAGGAACACTGCAGCAGGCCTGTTGGCCCATACTAGGCAGGTCCTTTACAATTCATCCCACTAACAAACATTTGACCAACCCAATTTTCAATGCCACCCAAGAAACAAGCTCCGATGTGCAAGTCCCTCTCAAATCCAACCCCTCCCACTCATGTACTTATCCAACCTAAATTTGAAACTACCCAAAGTCCTAGCCTCAATAACCCAACTAGGTAGACTGTTCCACTCTCAACTACCTATTTCCAAACCAATACTTTCCTATGTCCTTTCTAAATCTAAACTTATCTAATTTAAATCCATTACTGCGGGGTTCTCTCTTGGAGGAGATATCCTCAAGACCTTGTTAATATCCCCTTTATTAATACCTATTTCCACTTATACACTTCATCAGGTCTCCCCTCATTCTTCGTCTAACAAGTGAATGTAACTTAAGAGTCTTCAATCTTTCTTCATAAGGAAGATTTCTAATGCTATGTATTAATTTAGTCATCCTACGCTGAATGTTTTCTAACGAATTTATGTCCATTCTGTAATATGGAGACCAGAATGAGCTGCATAATCTAGGTGAGGCCTTACTAATGATGTATAAAGCTGCAGTATGACCTCTGGACTTCTGTTAGGAGAACTTTCTTTCAAGGAACATGAAAGGTCACGACAGCCAGGAAAATGACGGGGAGGGTAATGAGAACCTTCAAAACAAGAGAAATAATACCAGTGGTGACAATTTTCAAATCGCTAGTGCTTCCTCATTTAAGAACATAAGAACATAAGAAATAAGAAACACTGCAACAGGCCTACTGACCCATGCGGAGCAGGTCCATTCCCCCCCCCCCCCCGATTAGCCCAATGATCCAACCCCCGGATTAGCCCAATGACCCACCCAGTCTGGTCACCTCCACCCAAGGAAGGAGCAGGGCACCCAGCAGCACAAGCTAGTCAGGTCCAACTCACACCCACTCATGTATTTATCTATATCG